ACTCCTACTATATTATTGTAAAAAGTTTATTTCCTCATAGAGGAGTTCTAACAAGTGATTTGGTCACCCATGAGTAAAGCTCTAAAAGGCAAGTAGTTACATATAAATATGGTGATATCTTTCCCTATAACTATTTTAAGTTGGATGGACTTTTTAAATCAACATTTATGTGATGGCATATAAATGTGTAATGTAATGACTACTCAATGTGCAATTGTGCATGTGTAATTTCTTTAAGAATTGAGCTCCTTCCTCTAAAAAAAATAAAAAATAAAAACCAACAAGTTCACGAGCTATATGTCACGAATCAAAATTAAATGGCCGTACTAGACACATACAAAAAATATAAAATTCATAAAATAAATTCTCAAATCGATGTATCAGAAACAAGTAAGGAGTTTCTAAAACTCTCTTGAACTAGTGCTTAACTCGAAGGCATGTGCCTCGTGTCTTAATTCGTGGAACACAAAAGGTAAAAGGTAATATCATTGTACTAAGGAACATAGCTCCATTAAGGATGATCAGTTAAAATATCTTTTATATATCATAAAATTATAGTTTGTGTATACATCAAATATTATTTTTTTATACATATATGTTCAAGTATAAATCCAACCCAACACAATTAATAATATTACAAGCATTCTTTTCTGTAATTAATGACTAATAGAAGTACCTTTTTAACTTATCAGCTAATAAATCCCAATTTGGGGCCAAAAGTATATAGATAGGCACTCAAGAGTGCCCTAATCATGAGGTTTCAAATTTAAATTTTGGTACAGATAAAAATATTAGGTGATATCTTTTTATATGTTTTAGTCTTAATAAAAAATAATTATCTGATATCTATTATTGGTGAAAACTAGATGAATATGTACCATGTGAAATATTCAAGATGCTGATAAACAGGTCAAACACCACGATTATTATTATTAAATAAACTATAGTAAATTGTAACTTGTTAGCTTAGGTAAGTTGTTAATCTGCCAATACCTCAAACTTCACCTAATCCTTCCAAAAACACATGTCAATTATGAACCCCAATAATTAGATTACTTGTTTATTTTCTCTCTCTATGTGATCTAAGACACATGAAAAATACACAATTAATGAAAAAGAAAAGAAAACTTTATTTCTTATGGGCCCCAAAGTTGAATTAATTGCACACAAAAATCCAGCTTCATTGTAGTAAGATCTTAGTCATTAAAAAACTTTTTATTTCTTTTTTTTTTTTGTTAAAATGATCCTACCATTCCCTGCTCTTGTCGGGAGAAAATAATAAAAAGACATGGGCATAAAAAAGAATTATATAAAAAATAAATTTTGAAAATAATTAAAATCAGTCTTACACGATATGCATTCAATTAATCAGAACCTCAAAGCAATATCAAAAGTTGTGTGAGAACTTTTGAAATTACAACTTGTTAATCAATGGGTGAAAATATACCAACTATATCTTTAACTCGAATTATAAATCTACATTAATTGAAAAATTAATTAAATATAATTTTCTTCAACTCCACTTCTTTTTGCCCCATGAGAATTATGGTTGATAGGAGATAATTATTATTTATTAATTGGTTTTCCTTTTTTCCCAAAAAAAGTTTTAATTTGATGGGGACCCATTAATTATCAAATGGTTGTAATTGATAGGGAATGAGCATATTTTTGTATGGTATATAGATTTATAATGAAATACTATTTAAAACTATATGAAAGATCATAAGGTATTCCATATATCCTCTATGTTACATTCTTTTCAAACTATGCCCCATTAAAATTTTATCCACGTGGCTAAATCCTCACTCTTGATATTAACAAATCATTTTTTTTTGCTAAAAAAGTAATAGGATAGGGGAAAAAAAGTATTATTATTATTATTATTATTATTATTATTATTATTATTATTATTATTATTATTGTTGTTGTTGTTGTTTGGGGTGGGGGGGGGGGGGGAGGGTACTGTACTTAATTATGTTTAACAGAGGTAGATTCAGGACGAATTTGAGTAATTTATGCATTCATTTCTTGAAAAGATAAATACATAATTTGATTTGAAAATAGTATATTTCGTTAAATTCATAGAACTCATTTTAGATATGTCTCGTTTAAGTGTACACGTCATTGCTTATCTGTTTATGTAGCTATACAAGCCCAAAACTTTTAAAACTTTATGGTAATTTAAATTTGTTTTCAACATTATCAATAGAGTAATTTTTCCCCAAATCTGTCTTTTTTTTAAAAATTATTGGAAACCTAAAAATGTAAATAAAAACAATATAATGCATAGAGAGAGCAAAATGACCATATCTGTATAGCATTTAATGCTCCAGCCAAACACCACCTATGGACTTGTGTCATTTAGTGTAGACATTGGAGAGGGTGTCAAATAAATAAAAATTTATAAAATAAATAAATAATTTTTTTTATAAAATATGACACAAAGATGCTTGCAATTTCTAGACCTAGTTTTGTTAATCTCTAGTAAAAGCATTAAAAGTGCTAGAGAAGTTACTTCCCAATATGCTTTCAAAATCAAATAATAAATGAATATATAAATAAGACTATAAAAAATTAATTCAAACCCCTTTGATTTAGCCTTGGTTTTTGAAAATCTTAACCCTTGATGGTAGGTTGTCTGGAGTAGACATCAAAATTTGAATTTTATGATTTCTAAACTTGCAAAGAACTCATAGGTCGATCTCTTAGATATTGAGTTCGCTATTATAAGCTATCTAATCAAATTTATTGAATTCGTCTGAACTCGTATTTTATGATCTAGTTCCTCCCTAGAGGTTTTGTCCATTAATGAAATAAATGAGATTTTTGTACGACTCTTAATAAGGGGTCTCAAATAGCAATATAGACAAGACTTTCACCTAAGCATTCATCATCTTATATACATACGTGTCCAAAAGATTATCCTTACATATACATTATGAACCAATCCCCCTTCCGCCCTTCTAGCTAGTCCATCGATCTCGGTTCAAGTGTAGAAAATGAAAAAAAAATCCCTATAGAGAGCACTTTGCTTGTTAATGGGTTAACGAGTGTAAATTCAATTTGTTAGATCAGTAAGTATTGAATATCAACTACCAAAAATAATAATAATTGAAATTAGCTATACATTTCGTTGCTAATTTACTTATAGTTAAAATAAATACATTGCTAAATAAGATCAACGATAGATTTTGTTGTTTAATATAAATACAATTTATCTGTCACTGAATTATGTTATTTTTAGTGGTTAGAAAAGGAGTTTAGGGGTGGGGGTGGGGAGTGGATTTTATTCATATTTTTTGATGGTCCGTGTGTGTGTGTATCATGTGTAGGAAGATATAATAAAATGGGAAGATGCCAGACAAAGTTGTTGAAAGATTAGGAGGGAATATTTGGGAGTATGAAAGGGGAATTAGAAGGTAATGTGTGTGTTTTTATTTAGGTTTATCCCCATTTATGCCTACTACCAAACAAACACCCCTTTTTTCCTCTCTTAAGTCAATGCCTCTTTTGTACTTTTATGTTCACTACATATGTATTCGTGTACATATTAATACTTCATTACACTATATATATATATATATATATCCGTATAATTTCATAAACTGAGACCTGAGGAGGGTACATTATATGCATATCTTACCTTTAGCTATCTCATAGGTAAAGAGGTATGTTATTTTCAATAGACACTCAACTCGAAAAGAAACTTACATAACATACAAGTAAGTATACATATATGACCTCAACCCTCTAACCCTCACCTCGTTTCAAGTCAAGACGGGTCTAAGATAGAGACATAATCAGAATTTAAAGATTCCTACAACGACTTCAAATTAATATATGAAAATAATTGAGTTCATCGTCAAATATTCACATAAATTTATAAGTAATACGGTAAATCCGCCTCAATCTCAAGAATGAAGGTAGGGTATGGTAAAAAAATACTAAAACAATAAATAAAAACTAAGTAGAAAGCTCCAGATTACATTATCTTGAGTACATTTGTCTTTACATGTTAGTATAAAAATAGTATTATATATAATTAAATTACTGATAAATAATAAAATAGAAAACTATGTAATATGAAAGAGAAAATGAAAACAGAAAAGACAAGAAGTAGAAGCGTAGAGAGTGGGGGAAAAAGAATCACCAGGGGATTTTAAACCAGTTATCTGCTGGGAAAGAAAATCAATCAAAAAAGTCATTATTTATCTTTTTTTGGATTCTAATTAATTAAAAAATTATTTATATAAATATTAATTAATCTATAAATTTTTTTATGGATTTAAGTTATGTATATTTTCCATATAACATATTTTCATACTGTAAATTTAACTGGTTATTATTTTACATTATAAGTTATTACATGTATGTTGTTCGTGTATAAAACCTAAACTCCTTCGACTTAAGTAACCTATTGTAATTTAATTGTGTTAGATTAAATAATATTCTTTTGTTTCAATTTAAGTGTGTTTTACTTTTTCATAATTGATAAGGTTTTTGTCATGTGATCGGAAGTCACAGGTTCAAAATATGAAAACAATATTATGATGAAGTACAATCCTTTAATTCTTCGATCCCCCACATAGCTAATGCTTAGTGTATTGAGCTGCTTTTTTGTTTTACTTCGTTTTAATCTATTTAGAAAATAATGTCATTTTTTCTATATTTGGCAACTCTTTTATCCTACTAGCTAGACATATTTAAAACAAGAAAATTTAGCGATAATTTGTCACATAAAACATGTCTTTAACTTAAGACAATAAAACTTAAAAAATCTATTTTTTCTTCTTAGATGTCATATATGTCGTCAAACTAAGACAGTTAAATTAAACGAAAGAAACAAATATTTAGATTATATATTATTTACACTTATTATTATTTTTGTCATTATATTTAACATCTTCTTACTTTTGTTTGTATTTTCTAAAATTTTCTAAAATAATTTTGTTTTTTTCTTTTGACTATAGAAAGAGAGAGAAAATTAAGAAAATAGCCTCACCTTATTCTAGTGTCATTTTCCAAGATATACTCCCTAGGAATTTTAACACTATTACTCCCAAATCCCCCCTTCTTCTTCTCTTCTTTTTCAATTTCATCCATTGCCTTTTCTTGAATTCTTTTTCTTTTATAAAAGAAATATTCCCTTTTTTTATTTTTATTTTCCTTCACATCACTTCTTCTTCTTCATCATCTTTAACATATCCACTATTAAAAGAAAATAAAAGAACTTTTTTTCCTCCCAAAATCAAACTTGAAGTTTGTCCATCTTTTTCTTTCTTTTTTGTTTGTGTTTTTGTGCAACTTTTTGCTCTATTCTCTAGGCATATTATTATCATCATAAATTTGGTGTTTTTGGTGTTAAAGTTAAAGCAACAAACAACACAACAACAATAAAGAGGAAAAAGTTTAGAAATCTTGTTGTTATTGTTTTAGATTTAAAAACAAAAATCCATAAAGATGCCCTTAGAAGGGGTTTTCATTGAAACCCCCTCTTCATCTACAAAGCAAATTCCTGATCTTTCTCTCAACATTAGCCCTCCTACTAATTTGGATCTTTCCGGTCGCCGATGTGTTACTGAAGTGAGTGAAAATCATGAGAGATTATTGTCAGAGTTCGGTAAGACAGGAAATTGTCTTACTGAACTCTCATTAGCTCATCCCACTAACATTACCACCACTACCACAACCGTCATCAATGATGACATGACAACAAGAAGGGGGTTTCTAGACCACTTACCAAGAAACCCTTATTACATCAACCATCATCACCAGCACCATCACCAGCATTATCACCAGAGTCAAAATTATAGTCATATGGTTCAACCAATGAACCAAATAAATCATGGGGTTTCATCTTTAGATGTATCGGACGGTTTACGCCCTATCAAGGGTATCCCGGTGTACAATCACAACCGTTCATTTCCTTTTTTGGCTACAAATATAGACAAGGAGAAAGATCCAAAGATGTGTTTTTACCCATCATCATCTCCTTCTTCTTCTTCTCTTTCTTCGCCTTCGCCTTATTTTAATAATAGGTTTAATGGGATATCATCCTCGTCTTATCATCACGTGCCACATCATCATCCTCTTCAATATCATCATAGTCAATATGGTCATTTAGGAGGATTAGGACATAATTCTCATCATGAAAATATTGCAAATTCTCATAGTTTGATGAGATCAAGATTTTTACCTAAACTTCCAGCTAAAAGAAGTATGAGAGCACCAAGAATGAGATGGACTAGTACACTTCATGCTAGATTTGTTCATGCTGTGGAGCTTCTTGGTGGACATGAAAGTAAGTTATAATTAATCAGAGTCGGATCCAAAATTTAATCTTGATCGATTCAACATTTTTATATTCATTCTTAGTGATTTTTTTCGTGTCAAAATAAGGGCTACATTCGCGTCTATAGTCGAGTTTCAATTGTTTGTACTTTGAGTTTATCGTCTATTTAAAATACTGAGTTCAGATGAATCTATATGTTATCATTTCATTTTTATTTTTTTTGTGATTTGGGGGTTTATTTGAGGTGTGGGAAATGATGGAAAATGTCTAATCTTGATTTATTTATTTTTTTGGATTCTTGATTTTTTTAGGGGCAACACCAAAATCAGTGTTGGAGCTAATGGATGTGAAAGATCTTACTCTAGCTCATGTCAAAAGCCATTTACAGGTACTTAATTTATTAGACGAATAGATTACGTAAATTTTATATCAAGTCAAACGATGTCACATAAATGGGGCGAGTGATTTTTGTTTCCTGTGTCAAAGGTCCCTAGCTCAGGATGAATTCCTCCGGCACAGTAGCCAATAAAAATACAGTGAATGACTGAGTGAATGAATTAAAGAAACAAGTCTGATCTTTCTGATACTATCAGACATAAAAAAAAATTATTTAAAAAATTATATACTTTGTGGTAAAAATAAAGGGGGGGGGTGGTGGGGTTGTACTAGGGGTTATGTGTACCAGACAAAAGTAAGTCATCATTATTCAATAATACAAAATGCCTCGTGATTAATGACAATTCCAAGAAAGAAGCATTTTGACTCTAAGAAACAGAAAAAAAAAAAAAAAAACTTGTAGTGAGAGCACTGATAAAGTTATTTTCGTGTAATTTTTAACTAGAATACATAGGACCTTCTTAAGGTGTAGTCCTTCTCTGATGTGTAAATGTGGATACTTTGTGTACTGGATTGTTCTAACATTATTTCATGAGAAAGGGAGTTTCGTAGTTGAAGTAGTGGTAAAGGTATTTTCGTGTAACTAATTATAAGCTAGATACGATTGGCTACATCATACTTCTTGAGGTGTGATCCTTTTCCGATGGAGTTATGTGCGAAACATGAACATTTTGTGTATTGAATTGTTCTAGCATTATTTCACAAGAAGGGGAATCTTGTACTTGGAGCGATGATAAAGTTATTTTCGTGTAACCACTTATAAGTCGGATACGCTCGGCTACGTCATACTTCTTGAGGTGTGGTCCTTCTCCGATTGACCTTATGTAAATGTGAATACTCCGTGTACCAGATTGTTCTAACATTGTTTCACAAGAAAGGGAGTCTTGTAGTTGGACTAATAGTAAAGTTATTTTTGTGTAACTATTTATAAGTCAAATACGACTCCTATATTACTTCTTAAGATGTGGTCCTATTTCAATTGACCTTATGTAAATGTGAATGCTTTGCGTACTGAATTGTTCTAATATTATTTCAGAGAGTTAAATGTAAAGGGTACTTGAATTTTTTATTTTCTTGAAATATTTTTTGTTTTAACATTTGAAAATAATATTTATTCCTTTCCCAATGCAGATGTATCGCACTGTTAAAACCACTGACAAACCTGCAGTTTCCTCTGGTAAGTTGTCTTGCTTTAAGTCTTTTACTTTTCTTTCCTTTTTTTTCTTAATAATAATTATAATAATAAGTTTTATTAAACACATTTTGCACACTAAGATGTCTATAACAATGTTTAAATTTTGGTTTTCATGTATTTGATTATTTCATGTTCATGCATTGTATAATATGTATCTGTGTTTAATAAGTTAGTATATACTAGGAACAACTTCTACGAGACGATATACATAAAGGCATGATTAGTAAATTATTACCCGTGGTAAATTTTTTCTTGTATTGAAATAGAGAGTTGATTTAAACGATAAGATACAACATGTTAGTTTGGTTCTTCTTTTATTTTTGGAAAAAGAAATAAGAGGCAAGAAAATGTATTTGATGAATGTATAGTATTTTTAACGTATATTCTTTTAAACTCTTTCTCGTTATATCGAAATAAGGATTGATTTAACAACTAGGCTTATTATATGAGTTCGATCCATATATGAAATTCGTGTTTTATCATATTAGAAAAGAAACGAGATACAAGAAACTATCTTTGATTAATTTTAAGATTTACATGTATATAGTTTAACCTATTATAACAAGTAATTCATCGATGGTATATTTTTAAGGTAGTAAATTACATTCTTTAAGAACGATGATTACTTATAGTTATCTTTTATATGATTTGATAATATAATTTTCACATCGTTATTTTCTTGAAGGGCAATCAGATGGATCAGGAGAAGATGATCTCACAACAATAGGAAGTACCGGTGGCGGTGACCGGGCGGGTCTAGGCCGGTTTATGGATCAGAGAGGAGGATCCGATGGATCGTTACAACCCGAACCCGATTACCCGTCTACTGCAACCAATACTCTTTGGAGTAACTCTTCAAGGTACATTCATATAAATAAAATTGCTCTCATATATACATTTCGACCTTATCTAGAAGTTTCTGGTTTGAACCCTTGAAAATGTAGTCTGACCTCTTAACCCCTCTATATAGTTGTTTTTTTTCCTTCCATAGTATTTTTTTACTATATGAATTTAAAGTAGTCGAATTAGTGAGTTTTTCCCCTAGTGATTCTTTCACGATGGGAATCTAGAGTAGTCGAGCTGCATAACTTGAATTTTCAATGGATATGTCTGGATAATCGATAAGGGATTTGTGATGAAAAGTCCGTCATAAATATTTCTGACATTTTCTTGTCGATATTTTTTTTTGTGATGGTTGAATTATAAGAATATATATTACGTAAGCTAGTGTTGTGTACGTAGCTAATCGTCTTTGTTAGAAAACACTTCATCTTTTAATCTAAAACTCTTAGACGTGAATTTAGATTAGTAAGTTATCGATACAAATATCGAATATCGAATGAAAAATAGGAAAGAACAATATGTAGGGTAGGACTTTTGAAGTAATGATGGAGTAATGAGTTACATTGATAAAGGGAGATATATCTATGGATATATAGGTTTCTTTTTCTTTTGCATGAATCTTATAAATATATATGAAAACCCACGTCCATCATTTTTTCCTAAAGAATAAAATGACTTCTTGTGGCAGCTTTTGCTTTTGTATGTTTCATTTTCCCTCTTTTTCTACTTTCAACTCCTTTAATTTATTCCAATTCTAATCACATATTTTATATTCATTTCGTCTCAATTTATGTGATATAATTTAATTTGATATTATTATTATTTTAAAAGAAAAAGTTTGGTAATTCGTGGTCTTAGATAAATTTTAAATGTTTCTAATTAAGAAAAAAAATGACATTCTTTACGAGGCTTATGAAAAATAAAATTGTTACATAATTTGCTATATTAATTAGAGTGCTATCTATTTCCTACCACTATTTTCCTTATTTTACCCGAAAGATTTAAGTTATATACGCTGACGGCATTAAAAAATATTTATATTATTAAGTCATTTAAAGATTTCAAGTAACATTATATGAAAAATGAAATTTATAATCTTAGAAATAAGTAGGCAAAGATGATTTGACAGTAGAGGTGGAGCTAAAATTTTGAGTTATGAGTTTTATATTCTAGAAAAGATAGTTAATAGTAAAATTTAAGAGTTTTTAATCATTTCATACTGACTTCAAGTTAATAATATAATAATAATTAGTTTCATAGTCATTATTTATAAACGTTTATTAGATTTCTTAACAAAAACTATTTGGTTCATGTGAATCTATAATCAAGTCTCTAGATCCCCTTGGATACCGTCTCGACTTAAGTTATTGAGTTTTACTAAACTTAAAAAATTATTATAATTTTTTTACACTATTAGCATATATTAAAGAGAGAAAACAGTACCCAAATGGTAATTTAATTAGGATTTTGATAAGAAAGCAAAGATTATATTACTGTGCACTTTTTTCTTTTCTTTTCTTTATTCTTTTCCTTTTGTGGATTTTTAGAATTTTTTTTATTAAAGAGAGTAATAAACTAACCTTTTTTTCTTTTTAGCTTTATTGTTATTCTCTTCACGAGGAGAAAATTTTGGCAAATAAGTCCAAGAAAATAAAGACAAATATATTGACTTAAGTGCTTTGCTTTTCTCAAAGAAATATTTATTTAATTTTGTGGACGTGTGTTTGTCTTTTTTTTTTTTTTTTTAATTTACTAAAAGTAGAAAAAAAATCCATATCTTGTTATGATCAAGTTACTATATACAAAATATTTGAAATTAGCTATGAATTTCGTTACTAATAACTTTGTAGCTAACAAAATTTTATGATAATGCAATGCTAATCTATCACTATATAGAATTAGCGATGATTTTCTGTTTAGCTATAAAATTTATCTATCGTCAATTTCTGTTATATTTAATAGGGAAATAATTTGGGGTTAATATATAATCCCCACAAAATAAACATTGGATACCATATCTGCAGGTTTTTAAAAAGAGGATTTTGTACGTTTTTAAAAAAAAATCGAGTAGTTGGAAGAAGGGACTTTTATTTGTCCTATTATACGTTGAAAAAGTTTTACTTTGACCAGTCTACAATTATTTTACATATATAAAAAAGAAAGTTAAACTAATTGACAAGCACTTCAATTTCAAATGCCGATGAGAGTTTTGGAGTAACAGTAAATTGTGTTTGTACGATTTATAAATCATAGATTCGCTCAGTGGAAGTAATCATTGGTGTTTAATTTGTATTAGGATAAGTTATTTATAATACCTTTTGAAGTGTAGTCTTTTCTCAAATCTTACATAAATACAAAATGTTTTGAGTGCAGTCTTTTCTCAAATTTTGCATACATACGAAATGTTTGGTATACTGAACTGTCTTTTGAATTTCTTTATTCTCATAATTGTATAGATGGTCAATTTGGAAGATTTTCAATTTCAACATAAGATGGTAGAGATTAGTATTGACTTTGTATTTACTCTATACCCCAAATATTAGTAACAATGCACTCCATTGCTTCCCACAAATTTTAGGTTGATTCGAATCTAATAGCTTTGGCTTAGACTTTATGTATACGTTAAAATATCTACTAAATAAATATTAATTATAGAAACTAAAACCATATGATGATATTCAAATTTTGGATCAGTCTTTCTAGCGTCCATCATGTTATATGCATCTTATCCACGCTTCAGTTGTTCAAACTTGGACGTACGAGGTGATCGAAAGGTGTTAAAGTGTCTCACATTGGTTGAATTTTTTTTGCAGTAGTAGAGAAGGATGGTTGCAAGCTAACTCCAATGATACAAATGTCCTTATGAGATCACATAGTTTTCCATCTCAACAAAGATCAGGTCACCAAATAGAGGTATTTAATTTTCCCTCAAAACTTTTCTTTTACTTTTATTAATTGACAAACGTTTTGTCGAACATATTATCTGTCTTTCAAGATTTTTGGACACTCGACTAAGAAAGACATTCTAATTGTCCTAACTATAAGAGTGATTGTCTATGCCACTACTTTATGCTATCTGTCTTTTAAGATTTATATATGTACACTCTTAAGAAAGACATTCTAATTGTCCTAAGTGTAAGAGTAATAGTCAATACTACCAATATTTATCTTTCGTAATGTCTCACTTAATTATCATTGCATTATATCGCAGGAATGCAATTCATCAAGGCCAAAAAGCTATAATATAGGTTCCAATTTGGATCATCAAAAAAATCCAAGCTTGGAATTCACATTAGGAAGACCAGATTGGATTGAAAAGGATCATGAATGAAGAAAAAATACGACTCGTTCGAATCAAAGCATGTGCATCTGCTATTAAGATGGAGCAGTACTAAATCGTCGGAAATATAACTTTAATTAATTAATTTGATCTTGATTTAGTTGTTCGTTTTTTTAATTGTAATTTTGGAATGGGAGAGAAGGCATTATGAATATGAAAATAGTAAGAGGTTATATATAAAAGAAAGCAAAAAAAAAAAAAAAAAAGAGAAAAAAAAAGTGGAGATGGATTATTGAATTTTTCTTTAGGTTTCTCATCCATATTTTATCCAAAGTGGTTAACATATGTTTTTGTTAATACATGATCAAGTTAGGTTGGTATTTTCCAAAAAAAAAGGTATGTTTTTTTTATAACTTCTTTTTTGGTTGGTTTTGTTAATCTTTGTTTTTTTTTTATATATTTAGAAAAGAGTTAGATATTCAACGCGGTAATTTTTTTAATATATATATATATTATCAGTGTACTTAATGCCATGACAAATACCAGACGATTTGTTAATGACCACGATATTAATGGATCAAAAGTAAACTAATATAAAAACTCATTTTTTTCAAAACCAACTCAATAATTGTACCATGGTAAAAATAATTTTATAATATAAAAAACTATTCTTTCTTTCTTTTCCTTTTTTGGATAATTTTAGAACCACATTGAAAATGAAAATAATTCCTTTTTCAAGAAAATTTGCTATTTTTGGACTAAATATGTACGAATATGAAACTCTTTGAATTTATAACGAGCTTGATATATAATTTTAGTATAGTTTGGGGTCTAAAATTGATAATTTTAGAAATTTTTCTGACTCACTTTTTGACTATTTTGAAATAGTCAAATGGGACCACATTTTGACTCCAAAATGAAATGTCAAACATTGTCCTTTAAATTAATATACCTTTTTGACCTACTTAATTTTAATATGTACTTTTAAATTTGAAATCATTAACTTTTAGTTGTATAATTTCTTTTTATTTATTTTACATTTCATACCAATTAAGGAAAGACGATAAAATTATAGAAGAGAAAGTCTTGTTCTCGTGAGGCGAAAAGATTTAAGAGTTTTATGGATTTATGTTTCTAATTCTTTAAAGGTTATAATGTATATGTATTCAATGATTTTCTAATGTATAATTTGACTGAATCGACAATCAATGAGTTAGCTCCGCCTATAGGTCTGCTTGAGCTTTCCACTCAACCAATCTCTTATTTAGACCGATCAAATGAGCCCATCTCTCTAGTCTATCATTTGTTGGTCGATTCAGCTGACGACTCTTGCCTCTCCTCTCTTTGGGTGCCCCTCTCTTTTCAAGAAAATAATACGAAAACCCACCATTCATATTTCAAGAAAATAATACAAAAACCCACCATTCGTACTAATACTGATCGTGAAACACCACGAGCAACAGGATGTTGAGGATCAAAATTCGAAGTGAATTTTGATTTGCCTGTTCTTAGTCGTCATGAGAAAGAAATACACGAAAAATAAATAAAAAGGTCCTTCTATATTGGAAAGAAAGATAATCTCAACTATCATTACACAAATTTAACAAACAGAAAATTACATTCTCATTCAACATATTCAAGATTTCAAAAACATATACTAATACTTGCTAACTGGCGATAACATCTATTTCTCAAGAACAATTTACAGGCCAGTTTCCAACCATAACAAAAAGCCCCATGGAACCAAGCTCACTAGTCTCCACGCATATGGAAGATGCACGACAAGCTTAAATACCAACGATATATTTATATATCATCACGAAAGGCGTTGAAAGCACTAAAGCCAAAATACATATTGGTAGTTGGTAGTATTCATCATTCAAGACTTATTCATAGAAGTGGCCTTCTCCTTTTCTTGATTGTAAGCATGATTCATCATGCGTCATGGTTGTGTCGCACATGTCTGGTGGAAGAGTAAGCGGATAGTGCTGATCCTGTCGCGTTCAATGAGCGTTTGGCAAGACTTGCACTTTTCTTTGTTGCTAGCCATATAGTCCAGAAGAATCCAATCCAACCTGAGGCACACGTAGAATACCAGATTGAGACATTCATATATGTAACGACGTAGGGGAAGCAAGACGCTCAGTATTTGGGCATAATCAAAGGACAGTTCAGTGTTAAATAAGGAAATGTGAACTCCAAAAGAAGGGACAGGTACATAAGTAAACAGAGAAAACAGAACATCAAGTTTCCACAAGTTTTTCCGACAAAAGAAGTCTACGTCTGAAGAGAAGAGGGAGAAAATGAGCTATTCTCGATCGAGTGACTTGGCTTGGCTGAACCCTGTACTAAGTAGCACCCCTGCAAAACCAAAGTTTTCTAGAACTTCATGTTTACATTTAGTCCATGAACCACCAAATGAACCTATACGTTTAAGGTAAGGCATAGAGATAATGGCAAAAACATACCTAAAGTATCACGTTTATGCGAGCTTCCTACCTGAATGATAGTGATTTTTCATGTAGGAAACGTGAACAACTGGAAGTTGAGGTGTATTTTTTGATTAACAGTTGGTGACTATCAGGTAGGGAACTCGCAAAAAAGGTGATACTTCAGGTATGTTCTTGACCATTAACTCTAAAGAATATATGGCCTTATGGAACTTAGAATTTCCTTAACTTCTCTTACGTTATCCTTTTCTAGCTGGGCACCGTGAGTGGTAGCAATCTGGAATATGGGTGTAAATGACGGGGTACAAAAGTATGATGTATAAGCAATGAGTAAATCCATACTCGCTGAAGACAAACTCTCATATATGGGTAAAACAAAAAATATATAAAAGCTAAAACACGTGAAAAACAAAAAGAAGGTGCTTTAACTGAAGCAGAAAACGAACTCCCTTCTGTATACGGTATACCTGTAGCCACAATCACAGCGAAAATTGCTATAATTGTCGTAGTGGAAATGACAAATACAGCAACTGATAGAGCCCCAATATAAATTGCAGTTAAGCAGCCAAAGAAAAGAGCCAAGAATCCTCCTGCGGCCGCTAACGACATGAGAAGTGAGATCACAATGGCGTTGACAGTTGCCGCAACAAAGAAAACCATAAAGACTAGCAATCCTGTCAAAGCAAGAAGAGCAATTGTCCCCACCTACATAAATGTTAAGCAGTCGAAGAAACAGTTTAGTCTCACAAACTTGGAAGTTCCGGAAGAAAAATAACCTGGATCAATATTCATAATAAAACAGCTAGCAAAGGAGTTTGAGCAGAGAAAGTCAATGCTCCATAGTTTAGAGACAAAGATCCAAGACATAACAAGAAACTCAGACTTCAAGTTCTTCAAAGCACAGCTTTAACGATGAACCGATTGAAAAGTTGCTAGCTAAGAAAGGTAAAAGAAATGACTTCAAAATTGTGTTAGAATCTATACACTTACTCCACACTGTTAGAACAAGGATTCATTGCATACTTGTACTCAGTTCATAAGGGTGCAAAACACCCTAAACATACTCGTTTTTTCACGTAACCGATGAATGATTTTCTAAATATGTGCCTAACAAGGAGCTACTGGAATGACATTAAGTATTAACCGAAATAAGGCAAGGAGAGATACGTGAGTTCTTGGTAGTTGGTACACACTCCCTTCTCATTCTCCTTGGTTTTCATCTTCATGTAATTTAAATGTTTAACATGGGTAGAAAAGATAGCAGTATCACTTGCTTTATTATAATACTTTGTTTCATTTGACAATAAATCTCATAGGTGATGCCAAGTTTAACAGGTAAAAGCTTCAGCAGAAAACAGAAAGCTCACACATGCATTAAAAGAAAATACAGTACAATACACTTAAGTCAGTTTTTGAGCAAATGATATTTTACCGACTACCTTCAGACTTTGGGGCTCTCCAATTCAGCTAGGTCCATAGTTCTGGAACGCCTACTATACGAATCACGATTCAGCTCTTCTTTTCAACTCCCATGGAAATGACTACTCTTACTAAAGGATGCTATCTAGCCATTGCATAGATCTTGTCATATCCCAAAACAAACAAAATTTTCAAATTTTACTTGATGCAACTGGTTCTTAATGGGTGATTTACGAAAGAGGAGGGACTCCCTTCAAATTTTACTTAATGCAATTGATCCAAGGTGTGAAGTGGGAGAAAAGGGGTTTCATAACTGGGGTCCCATGAACTTGGATTTGTATAAATATGATACTAATGTCTTGACTAGTTACATCTTCTTATATTTTTATAACCCAAAAAAAAAGAGGCATAACTAGTCAAGATATTAATAAGTATTCGACTTCTCTATGCAGTTCACTGAATGTGTATTCCACCCTATCCCCCTTTTTGACAAGTATGTGCATTCCGCTTTTTCTAAATGACTAGGTTCAACAATAATAAACAAACACAGAGAATTGCACATTATCAACATATTCGACAAAATTATCCAGAGAATAAAACACGAGAAATAATTAGGACATGCGCAGAAGAACTCCTATAAACTAATAGCAACGACAACATGCCCGGTGTAATCCCAAAAGGGTATGATGTACGCAAACCTTACCCCTACCTTTGGGGTAGAAAGGCTGTTTCCCGATAGACCCTCAGCTCAAAGGAAAGAACTCCTACAAACTAGGTAGTTTGAATGATTTATCCTTATGCCGACGAGCATAGTTATGACTCATTTCTGTATTTGAATTCAATGTGGAAACTTCACATTTAAAAAAGTTAAAAATATAGTTCTCACCGTTAACATTGTATGTGTTGAGAAGTGTGGAGCCAGCATAAGAGTAGGTCATCGTTTAGTAAAAATTCTTTAATTCCCACTATTTGACCAATTTGTAACCAAGATCCTTAGTATCCACAATTCTGCCCATGCTATATTCAAAGAGACAAAGTGAAAAGCCTTTCAGAGCATTCGCTGTCCCAACTGACAGTCTAAGAAACCCAATATAGCTTACAATAAAAACTGTCAACGTTTCTCTTCTGCTTCATGAACAGTTCCTTTAGTGTTTTGGTCCTACTAGTATTCAAAGAAAAATAATGGCTTTCACATGCTACCTTGGCATGATACAAAGTAGATAACATATAAATCAGATGAGACAAGTTAAATATTAGAAGGAAAGAGAAAAGGTTGTTGGGTATATTCTCTGAAATGAAATAAACGGAAATAGGAGCTAAGGTCGCTAATCCTATGTTCCATGATTGCATATTTAGGACCCTTTCCCGAAAAAAAAGAA